ACTGTTGGACCTAAGAATCTTGGGGGTAGAGGACGAGGCCTCACTCATGTCATACCATCGCCAAGGGATGCCATGCTCTGCTAGATCCTATAATGTAGACATCCCTCTCATTTGCCCCTTTTTAGGGGGTCAAACCGCCTCCTTCTAGATAAGTGGATCCCATTTTGGCCATAAATCCTTGTTTGGCCCATGCTTCTCCACATATTTTTGGTGGGTATCATTCTGTTTCAAGAATAAAATTTTTATTTGTTAGCAATTTCAAATGATAATGGGAAATCAAATGAAAAATAACAATGATTGAGTACAATGGAGAGAAAATTGTATCACTTTTCTTTAGCTTTTGATCAAAATCGGGATTGAGCTAATATTGCATTCTTGTCTAGGTCAAGAAATCTCTATGGCAAAAAAAAAAAAAAAAAAATACATATATATACATAAAGGGATGTAAGAAGGAATTTGAGAGGAAATATGAAACTAATGTGCAAAAACCTAACAATGACAATAATTAATTTAAATAAGTTGATATGCATTAAATATAACTCCAAACCAAAATTATTTATAAAATATAAATATCAATACATAACTATATATATATAAATAACTATAAATATATAAAATATATATGTATAACTAAATAGATATAAATATAATATAAATATAATAATATATAAAATATAACTGCACTATAAATATCAATAGAAATAATTATAAATGTATATTGATATAAATATAAATATATAAAAAAGTCTTTAATTTATTAACTTATAACAGAGAAAATATTAGTCCTTCATCCCTTGTTCAATTAATTAAAAAAATCAAATAAGATACATCTAGTTACTATCACTCCCGATTAAGTAATTTGGAACTTCTTCTTCCGATGTTTCTGTTCCATCAAACTCTCCGCCTTCATCATCATCCTCATCCACACATTCTTCCTCTACCACATATGGCAATTGTATGACCTCAATAATCACAACTTGTTCTCCCTCCTGAGATGCTAGTGAAACATGATAATTTAAAATAGTCGAGAGTTGTTCCAATTGTGGCATAGGAGGATCATCGTCTTGATAATAATCATTTCCACCAACACTTAATGACGAAGTGTCAATTATTGCTCTTGCCCTAATGTTACATACAACAAACCACCCTTTTCTACAAGGATTTTGAGATGGATAATTGGCGTAAAACACTTGTTGAGCTTGACTAGCCAATATGAATGGTTCATGTGTTTGTAATTTAAACCAAGGATTTGTCAACTATACCAGATGTTGGATGGATCACGATGCCTTTGTTGATATCATACCACTCACAATTAAACAAAATCACTAATTGATGAATATATGAGTCAAAATATTGAAGCTTGATAACTTCCTTCAAACTCCCATAATAATCTGACTCATTATCATTGAACGTGGTTCCTTTCACACAAATACCACTATTCATCATATTTTTATTTTGTCCATATGCGTATGAAACTGAAATCCATTAACCCAATAACCATTATATACCCTAACGTTACTGACAGGTCTAGTTACTAAAGACAAAGGCGAGGATCAACCTCATATCTTTCCTTATGCACCTACATTTGTTATAGAAATATTTAATATTTAACCCTAAATAATATAAAAAATGAGATTTTAATAATAAAAATTATTAAAATGAATTACTTACTGTTGTCTTAAACCAAGGAATAAATTTAAGTTGCCGTTTGATTTGAATTTGATCTAGTGATAGACCGAAACATACTTGATAATCAAAAAACCTACATCAAGAAGTTGGAGTAAACAATCTATTCATACTAGCAACTTAAAAAAAATGAAAGTTTGAACTAGAACATATGCAATCCATGGATCAACTTCTTCACAATTAAGCAAAACATAAAGTTCCGCTGCCTTTAATTCTTTGGGTAACAATGCACACCTACGCATTTCTCCACCTACTGGTTAACCTTGATTTTTAAAGGCAGACAAATAATTATTCATATCATCATTCCTATCGACAATGTTTCTTGGTTGATGATTCAATCTTGTCTTTATGTCAAATCCAAATAATGTGAGCAAAAGAAAGTAATTTTTGAAAGAATATTAGACTCGCAAATCGAAGTTTCAACACAATTTTTGTTTAACACTTTTTTCTTAAGGTCATGCATTTTTCTGTTAAACAAATAAGAAAATTAATTAATAAGATTAAATTATTAAACATGCTCATGAATGTTATTATGGTGCAAATGCATTAGAAGAAATATACCTTTTAAAATGATACATCTAACAAAATTGAATAGGTCCTCTGACTTTTGTCTCATATGGTAGATGGATTCCAAATGCTCCATTGGGTCAAAGAATGCTGGCTAGAATACTTTCTCTAACTTGCAAATGGTCTCAACAATTTTTTTCCTCCCACATCTCCATGTTACTAACTCAAATAATCGAAGTAGTTAAAGCTCTAAAAAAGTTACTAACCTCAAATAAGGGACCCAAACTTTGTCTATAAGGAAATCACAGAAAACGATTTGCAAGAAACGTTGCATGAATATATGACAATCATGTCTTTTTATCCTAAACAATCAAAGCTTCTTTATGTTAACACATCGTGCTATGTTGCATGCATACCCATCTGAGAATCTCAATTCCTTCAACCACTGGCAGACGAGCTCATTGCTCTCGAGTAAGAACATATGTAGCATTGGGTTTGATAGTCGTTCCATCATGCTGAGGTATCAATTCTAATTTAGATCTATTGCAATACAATTGTAGATCCAATCTAGCATTTGTGTTATCCTTCATACAACCCTTATCATCCATGACAGTATTTTTAATGTTGTCTAAAATATTCTTCTCACAATGCATAACATCGAGGTTATAACAAATTAGTAAATCCCTCCAGTATGGCAATTCCCAAAATATTCTACATTTCACCCAATTATGAAAAACACCAAATCTTGCAATTGAATGTTTACAAAGTGGCTGGCCAAAGACTATGTCAGGAAGCTGATTAACCCTTTCCCCCATCAAACTACCATCTAGTCTTGGGGGGGGGGGAGGCTTTTTTCAACTCTATTTACGTAGAAATTTTTCTTATCTCTACGAAATGGATGTTTAGGAGGCAAGAATTGACAATGAAAATAAAAAAAATGATATTTTCCTCCCATATTGAAGTTGAAAAGCCTTAGTGTTCTCCATGCAACAGGGGCATGACAACTTTCCATGTGTGCTCCATCCAGATAACATGCCATAACTTGGGAAATCACTTATAGTCCATAACAATATAGCTTTCGAGATAAAATTCTGTTCCTTGAAACTATCATAAGTTTCAATTCCATTTGTCCACAATTCCTTGAGTTCATCAATTAATGGCCTAAGCATAACATCAATGTTTTTTCCTAGACTTTTAGGTCCAGCAAGTATCAGGGCAAGAAATATATGCTTTGACTTTATGCACAATTTAGGAGGAAGGTTGTACACTTTAAGAAAGATGGGCCAATAAGAGTAAGGTGTTGCAGAGCAACCAAATGGATTGAAACCATTTGTGCAGAGGTCAAGTCTAACATTTCTAGGTTCCTTGGCAAATGTTGGGTAGGTTACATCAAAGTGTTTCCATGTCTCACTACTTGCAAGATGAATAACTTCATCCACATCCTCATGGCATTTCAAATGCCATGTCATTTGCTCTGCCATTTTCCTAGACATGAATAGTCGCTACACTCTTGGGGTAATTGAAAGGTACCACAAAGATTTCCTTAGAACATCTTTCTACCTCATTGCAGCCATATTTCTTGGCTTATAATGGGATTCTCCACATCTAGACAAGCAATTAATTCTTATTTTACTCATCATAGTACAAGAAGCAATCATTGACACAAACATCAATTTTCTAATACCTAAGTCCAAGCACATTTATCATTTTTTTGGCACTATAAAAATCCTTTGGCACCTTTTCTTGGTCCTCTGGACTCAACAACTCTCGACTCAATGATAATGCCATCTCCCAATTAGCAGCACTCATATTATAAAGAGTTTTCATGTTTAGCATTTCTGCCATCAATGAAAGTACTACGACATCTTGTCCCTTGGCACATATTTGAACTTCTATAGCATGCAAGAGATCATAAAATTCTCTTGCCTTACTATTTGGCTCCTCAACCATTGTCCCCTCATTGTATTCAGGTTGTGGACCCATTACATCAACTACCATTTCATGGTACATTGTACCCACCTCATTTCTAACAAACTCAATATTAGAAGATTTGGATGTCTCTCCACGAACATACCATGTATAATAGTTATTTATAAACCCATGCTTACACAAATGCACGGAGACAACCTCAGGGTTCCCCCATTTTCTACATTTACATTTCAAACAAGAACACTTAATGTCTAATTTTGCTTTAGGTCTAGAGAATGCAAATCTCACAAAAAATTGCACCGCCTTTTTAAATTCATTGGTAACAAAACCACCATCGTCTACATGACAATCTATCTAACTATGGTCCTACATCATTAAATTACCCAATTTGAATTTCAATTTAACAAAGTAGATTAACATATCAACTAATAACCATACATGTCAATAACCACATATGTTAATCTTAATCTTAATAATTTTAAATTAAATTTCTTTATGTATATAAATTCAATATATACAAATACTGCTATAGTTCAACAATCATACATATATTAATCTCAATGTAAATAATTTCAAATAAGTAACTTTATAAATATATATTAAATATAAATAGTACTATAGTTTAATTACCATACTGATCTCAATCCAAATGATTTGAAATAAATAATTTGATGCATAGAAATTCAATCTAAATATAATTTTAATTCAATAGTAATACACATCCCAATCTCAATATCAATCTCAAACTCAATAATTTGAAATAAATAACAAATTTGCGACAATAGAAATTCAATATAAATATCATTCTACTTCAATAACTATAGATATTTAGACCTCAATCTTCATATCAATCTCAACCTTAATCTCAAATCCCTAACTTTGTCTATTCAAATTTATTAAAAACAACACTTCAACTAGCATACATATCTCAATCTCAAAAACTTGAGAAAAAAACTGCAATCCACTAACAATCCATGCAATAGTAGCAATAATCTACACTAATCCACAAGTGAGACAGTATAATTTTGTATAAAAAAAAAACCACAAGAATCCGAATTAGCTCTGGCAATGGGGACGGTGATGTTGTGGAGGCAGTGAAGGCAGTAAAGGTTGGATTTGGACCTACAAAAAGGAAAACTGGGGTCTTGTAAACCCAAATCCAAGGAAAAAACAAGGAAAACCAACAAAAAAGAAAAAAGAAAAAAGAAACTAACCGTCAATGGTGCTGCAATTTGTAAGGAACGCAATAGCAAGTAACCTCCTCCAGGTGGCGTGGTGGCTTGGAGGTGATGGAGGTTGGACCAAAATGCATGAATCTACAAGAAAAAATGCAAATGCCAATTGTAAATCGAAGGCAAATAAAAAAAAAAACTAAATTAATTGGGAGAGGGGCCAAATCACTGTCACCAATGTGGGGATTTTGACTACAGGGGGCGCAAAGACTAGTCCCTCAGCTAACTAGGAACAATGACAATAAACCTCGTTAGAGAAAAAACCAGATCCACTACAAAGGGAGAAGAAGAAATGGGGAAGAAAAGGGAGTCGAGGGGTTAATGAAAGAGTACATTCGACAACCTTGGCTGTCATATATAGAGAGGAAATGACATCATTTCCATCCATAATCGACTATACATAATCGATAGCAAAATGCTATGATTAAACATAATCGATAGCCTAGTTTATGTCAATTATATATATTTAATTGACAAAAAGGTTGTCAATTATGAAACTGGTCAAATAAACACACAAAAATATTACACATAATCAACAAGTTAATATAATCGACAATCTTTCTATTGATTAAATGCATATAATCGACATAAACTATGCTGTCGATTATAAGTTTGTCATTTATATCGCGTTTTCTAGTAGTGGTGTTAAGCTGCACAAAAGCTAGCCCAAAAACACCCTCATTGTAAATATCAAAAAAAAAAAAAAAGTTATACATTGATACACCTTATAAATCAATAGCATTTAAAAAGAATAGCAAGTAGTTTAGTAGAGTGGACAAAGTTGGGGATAGAACGATGGAGTTATTTCATAATAGGCATTGATGTGGATTGGTCTGATGCCGATGGTTACCTAGGTGCTGACCAAAAAAAAAAAAAATGGTTATGTGGGCTCTCATGTAATTCAATTAAAAAATAATTAGTATACACTCGAATCAATATATTTTTTAATATTTATTCAATTCAATTATTAAAATATAATATAAGTATAACTCAATTCAGCCGATTCTTACATTTTATATATGATAATATCTTTAAATTTGTTTGTTTGTAATTTTAAATTATAAAATAATAATTTTTTAACAAATATATTGTGCAATATTTTCCTTGCCCAAGGTTTTGTTGTGGTTTGAGAGAATATAGACAGTATGGGTGATTGGGTTGAGTGCATGTGATACTTCCACAAAAAATTAAGTAGCGACGTGATTGGCCACCAACCCAACCATGTGTTGGGTGGTTGAGCGCGCGTTGTTGATTTGGGGTTAGGTTTGTCTTTTTCATTTCCTGCAGTTTTCTCCATCCGTTCCACTTTGTCGGAAAACTACCCATCACATTATTTGTGTGTTTAACATTTCATCAAATCCCCACCCTAAGTTCATAGTCCCAACCTTGTCTTTTGGTTGATGCAGCATGAGTTCTGGTAATTGTTTAATTTGATTTTGTGAATTGCAGAGGAGAGCACGAGAATTAAACTTGCTTTATGCCTAAATGAGCACTATATATTTTCTTGTGGGTTTGTTTATTTCTGATCATCATCTTGCACTTTTTATTTCTTTATTAATCTTATGTTTAAAATCTTTGATGCATAACACTCAGGGATGATGGGCTCAGGGAAAACAACAGTGGGCAAAGTTTTGGCTGAGGCGCTAGGTTATGCTTTTGTTGACAGATGAGTGCCTTGATATTTAAATATGTGTATTTTCCTTTGGACCCTCTATCATGTGATAAGAAATTAACCTATGCTTTTCTACTTACCATGCAAATTGACTGTTTCGTCCTTTTGCGTGATCGACTTGTCTTTTTCTAAGAAGTACATCTTGTATTGTTCGTCTTGGCGGATTCTTCTCTAATGTCTGCCTGCATTTTTTTTTTTTTCCCATCAGTTAGGGGCATGAATATCAGTATCTACCACCTCTGCCAAACTTTAGAATTCTGCAAAATTTTATGGTTTAGGAACCTCACCGCATGTATCTAACACAAGAACACAAAGAATGAATACAGTGTTTGGTTTAGTCATACTTGCTCTTGTTGGTAATTTGGTCTTGTAAATAAATCTTAAGCTGCTTTGATATTTTGATGTTGTTAAGTCAAATGGAGAAAGAGCTTAAGATGATAATGGGTAAGAGGGCGTTTGGTGGAGCTTAAAAAGCATTTACTTTAAAAGTACTATTTATATATTATAAATTTGAAATTTTGTTATAGAGATTTAAAAATTGTCTTTTAAAGTAAGGTTTAAATTAATTTTGAAAAAATTTGAATATGTAACTTTTTTAAAACTTACTTAAACCCACTTAAAAAACTAATTTTAAGTATTTTTTTGAACAAAATTTTAAATTTGTGAGAGAATAATGCTTTTAAAACAAATACATTTTAAGATTCCCCAGAAGACTTCTAAATCTTCATATGCTAAATCTTAATTTAGTTGGCAAGTGTAAAATAAGTAAGAAAGGAATTTTGACGAGTACCATATCCTAATGTTTCTTAGACTATTATCAAATTTTATCAGGATTAATATATTGCTTGTTTGTGTTTCAACTATTGCTATGTAGAGTAGGCTATTGGTGGAGAGTTTGTGACTCAAATATTTAACCAGTAAGTATGTTGAAAAATTCTGCAAAGATAATTGATAGTTGAATTTTCATATATATTAATGTGAAATTTTTGTTTTGATATTATTGATATTTGAATGAGTTTTAAGAGATTTTACTTGATTTTATATAATTTTAATTCTTTGTGAAAAAGGACTTAATTGAAAGAAATCAAAATTTTAAGAATCAAGTCAAAGAAATGAGAACTATTAGATCAAATTGTCAACTGATGAAAGATAAGTGACCAGAGCAGTTTTGCCGATTAAGAACCAAAATTGCGTTTTGGTCCAAAATCGCTGATACGGACTCAAGGACACATTGCAGTTGCCGGCACCTCACATAGAGCATCTATCCCTCAGGCAATTTTCAGAACTTTCTCACTAAGCCCTTATTATTTTGATGGGAGTTCCACTTCTACTGAAAATTAGGATTTCTACATTCTTATAAATACTCATGTAAGATTAGAATTAAGAGAGCTTTGGCAAGCTTTTGGTAACTATTTTTGGAACATTCTTGAAGTTTAAGTTAAAGGTGATGAGAATTTATCGACAAGAAAATCAATATTTTTAGATTGAATTAATTTCTTTAATTTTTTTTTTAGATTATCAGTTCATCATGATTATTTTAGATTTTATTATTTTTTGCATGAATTAATTTAGCATACTAGGGCTATGATGTATGATGAGTTTTAATTGTTGAATTTAATACTTCAAAACCTTGACCACCTTTTTAATTGATTATGTGATTTATTTATAAATTTAAAAAAGTATTGCATGAATCAAAGCAATAACAATATAAACCTTGTGTTAAACTTGTTAAAAATCAAGGATTCCCGAGAAAAAGAAGATGGAATGAAAGTCCAAATCACATTAAACTGAAAATCAACTAGCCTCTAAATAGGCTTTACAAGACAAAAGATAGCTAACCAAATTTATCTAATCCATTTTAAATGATAACAACCTAAACAACTTAAACTTCCTAAATTATAGAGATAATGGCTAGAAAACAGATAGTAGCTAAAAAATAGGATCTACTTTCCAACAATCCATCCCTTAAACTGAAAGTCTTCAGACTTTAGTTTAAAGAAATTTGGAAAACACCATGTCTGCAATCTAGAATCTGCAAACCCTCTCGCAAATTGAATTCTGTATGCTGCAAACACAAAGTAACTTTCTCAATCTTGAAAAAGTTGCTACTTTGAGGGGTTTTGTGAATATATCAGCCACTTAATCTTTTGTTCTATAATAAGTCAACTCAATTGTTCCATCTTCTACCAAGTTGCACAAGAAATGATACCTCACATGTATATGCTTAATTCTCCCATGCAAAACTAGATTTCTAGAAAGCTTGATAGTTGAACTGTTATCACAATAAATTGAAGTGGCATCATGTTGATTCAGCTCAAGTTCTTCTAGAACTCTTCTCAACCAAATAGCTTGACAAGCACAAGAAGTCGCTGTCACATACTCTGCTTCAGTTGTGGACAAAGTCACAATTGGCTATTTCTTTGAAGACCATGAAATTGTCACAGATCCCAACATAAAAACATACCCAAAAGTGCTTTTTCTATCATCCAGATCTCTAGCATAATCACTGTTTGTAAAACCTGCGGATCTGTCTAGTCAACCTTCTTGTAGAATAGTCCAAAATTTGCAGTTCCGTGTAAATACCTGAGAATTCTTTTAGCAATCTGCAAGTGCAATTCCTTTGGATGCTCCATATATATGCTAATCAGACTTACACTATGCACTATGTTTGGTCTTATTGCTATTAGATACATCAAACTTCCAATAATCTGCTTATACAGTTTGCTATCCACATATCTGCTTCTGGATCTTTCATGAGCTTTGCACCTTTGTCAACTGGTGTAGTGATAGAATTATAGTTCTTCATTTGAAATATGTCCAGAACTTCCTACACATATTTTTGTTGACAAACAAAAATTCTAGAATATGACTATACTACTTCCAGACCAAGAAAATAATACAACAAACCCAGATCTGTCATATCAAACTCAAGCTTCATGGGCTGCTTGAACTTTTCCAACATGCCAAGATCATTCTCAGTGTAAATTAAATCATCAACATATAAGCATACAATAATCAATTTACCTCCATCTCCAAATTTGATGTAAAGTGTATGCTCATGAGGGCACTTTTGAAAACCTTCAAGAAATAAGCATCAATTCGACTATACCAAGCTCTAGGTGCTTGTTTTAGTCCATATAATGCTTTCTTCAATCTATAAACCTTATGCTCAAAACCAGCTTTCACATAACCAGGAGGTTGATCAATAAATACCTGTTCTTGTAGATTTCCATGCAAGAAGGCATATTTTACATCAAGTTGGTAGATCGACCATGAGTTTTGTGCTGCCAATGCAATCACCAATCTGATGGTATCCATCCTTGCAACTGGAGCAAAAACTTCTTGATAATCAATGCCAAATTCTTACTTGTAACCCTTTGCCACCAATCGAGCTTTGAATTTGTCAACCTCCCCATTCTATTTGAGTTTTGTCTTGTAAATCCACTTAACACCAATTATTTTGTGCCCTTCTGGAAGATCTATCAACTCCCAAGTCTGGTTCCTTTCAATAGAACCAATTTCATCTACCATGGCTTTTTGCCACTTTTCTTCTTTAATAGCTTCTTCATATGTCAATGGATCACAATTTGCAAATAGAGCAAAATAAGTAACTGGAACATCATCTTGAGGTAGATCTATTACCTAATAATCCTCCAACCATGCGAGTCTCCTCTTTTGGCGCTAAGGTCTGGAACTAGTTCCAAATTACAGTTCTAGTGTTGTTGGCAGACTTCCTCCAATAGTAAGTTCTGCTGTTGC